GAGTTAAGGCTCAGTGACTAAGACACTGAGCTTGTCGATCAAAAAGATCGGCATTTGAATCCCTAGTGCCACGTAACAGAGTGAGCTCCCGTTACTTGTCTCCCAGCATCTGCCAACCTAGCCGTTCGAAAGGACATAAAAACTGCAAGTAGAAAAACAGGAACCACCTTTGGTGGGAAGGTAACAGAGTTCTGTGCACCTTTGGTGTTGAGTCATGCTAGCCACATGACCACAGAGACGTCTTCAGACAGTGCTGGCTCTTCAGCTTTGAAACAGAGATGAGCACCACCACCTAGAGTCGGGAACGACTAGTACATATGTGCCAGGGGAACCTTTACCTTTATGACGAGTTATAGATTAGATGAGCATACATTCTCCCTATTGAGTTGGGCAGATAGGACTATTGGTGGACTCCGTGGTACCTGATGATCAGATTGCTTGGCTAGACCACAATTAAGGTTTCTCCATCCTCCAGTCCCACCCCAATCAAGATTGCTGCTTGCAGTTCTCCCATTGTTAATGGTCACAGAGAATCTTGGCTGGAGCAAACCCTGCCATTTTGTTCACATCATCCTGCTGATAGAAGGTTAGTTGGAGCGTGGGGAAAAAGAGGAGCTTCATTTGTGTTCCCCTGCCCCTGATCCCCCCCCATTTAAAAACAACAGACTCTTCAGACCTGATGCAGAAGATCTGAAGCCCCATAGCCTAGTGTCCTCTGGGTCAATTTGCAGAAGATAGCATCCGATCATCTATTCCTTTATTACTTCATCAGTTGTAGGCCTCGTCTGGAGGTTACGCTTTGGTATGTCTCCTGTTTCAAAATGAAGAGCAGACATCCAGCCCATGTGCTTGGAAGCACCTCTGAGGGCTACACCAGAAGGCTTTGAGGGCCACCTGTAGCTCTTTGCTTGATAGATATTGCTCATTGCAGGTCTACAGCTTCCGTTCTCCCCAACCAAGTTGTGGCTGGAGAGCATCTTCTTGGGATGAGCTAGACAACACTAACAGGGACGCCGGTGTCTTAGTGGCTAAGACGCTGAGCTTGTTGATCAGAAAGGTTTGACGGTTTGACAGTTCGAATCCCTCGTGTCACGTAACGGAGTGAGCTCCCATTACTTATCCCAGCTTTTGCCAACCTAGCAGTTTGAAAACACGTAAAAAATGCAAGTAGAAAAAGAGGGACAACCTTTGGTGGGAAGGTAACAGCATTCCATGCTCCTTCGGCCTTGAGTCATGCTGGCCACATGACCATGGAGATGTCTTCGGACAGCGCTGGCTCTTTGGCTTTGAAACTGAGATGAGCACTGCCCCCTAGAGTTGAGAACAACTAGCACAGATGTGCGTAGGGAACCTTTACCTTTACTTTAGATAATACTGAGTTTCTATCTAACATCTTTTTTCATGTAATCGTAAAGGTGAAGGAAAGGCACTTGGGGGGTGGGGAATTCATCCCCTGTGCAGTTTTCCTGCCAGTTATGGAAAGAGATAGCCCTCGACTTACAACCACAATTGACCCCAAGATTTATGTTGCTAAGTGACACATTTATTAAGTGACTTTTATCCCATTTTACAACCTTTCTTGCCACAGTTGCTAAGTGAATCATTGCAGTTATTAAGTCAGCAACACACTTATTAAGTGAATCTGGCTTTCCCATGGACTTTGCTTGTTGGATGGTTGCAAGAGGGGATCACATGACCCCAGGACACTGTGACCGTCATAAATATAAACCAACTGCCAAGGACCTGAATTTTGATCATGTCACCGTTGGGATGCTGCAACGGTTATAAGCATGAAAACACACTCACTTTGTTTCGTGCCGTTGTAACTTTGAATGGTCACTATACAAACAGTTGAGACTCTCTGTGTTAGCTTCTTGCAGGCTGTGGAGGGTGAGACTTGGTTAGGGAGCCATGGTCCCGAGTTGCTTTGAGAAAGTCTCCCCTCTTCTCTTCCTCTCAGGAACCCATCCTGAATATCGACCTCGCACCCACCTTCTTGGACATTGCAGGAGTCAACGCTTCTCAGACCAGCATGGATGGGGTTTCCTTCCTGCCCCTCTTGGTAATAGGTTGCCTTGAATTTTGGCATGTAGTCCAGTGGGAGAGTCTGGTTAGAAAGCTTTCCTGAGGAATGAGGGGTGTGTGTGTTTATTTAAAGTATTTGCGGTGTTTATGAAACTGGGTTTTGCTCAGAAGCCGCACGTGGGACTTTTATGCGTTGCAGAATCACCCCGCAGAATGTGAACTTAAAATTCATGGGGTTTCAGCAGATCTCTAATAAATTCAAATAAAGAAATCTTGAGGGTCCTGCATGGATGGGGACCACAATCAGGGAGAGGGAAAGAGAGAGAGGAGTGGGAGGGAGGGAGGGAGAAAAAGGGAAGGGGGAAAGAGAGACCGTGGGAAGGAGTGGTAGGAAGAGAAGGAGGGGGGAGAGGAAGAGAGGAGGGGGGGATAAAGGGGGGAGCAAGAGAAGGAGTGATAAGGAAATAGGGAAGGAGTGGTAGGGAGAGGAGGGGAAGAGAAGGTGGGAGAGAGAAGGAGTGGTAGGGAGGGGAGATAGATAGGAGTGGTAGGGAAATAGGGAAGGAGAGAGGGGGAAAGGAGTGGAAGGGAGAGGAGAGGGAGAGAGGAGGAGAGAAGAGCGGTAGGGTGGGGGAGAAAGAAAGGGAGATAGGAGTGATAAGGAAATAGAGAAAGAGAGAGAAAGAAGGGAGGGAGGGGGAAGAGAGAAAGGCAGGGAGATAGGAGGAGTGATAAGGAAATAGGGAAGGAGAGAGTGAAGGAATGGTAGGGAGAGAAGGAGGAGGAGAGAGAAGGAATGGTAGGGAGGGGGAAGAGAGGGAATAGAAGGAGTGATAAGGAAATAGGGAAAAGGGACAGAGTGAAGAAGTGATAGGAAGAGAAGGAGTGGGAGGGAAGGAGAGAGAGAGATGAGAATTAGTTTATTAAAGAATATTTTAATCTCTCTTTCTGAGGTTAGGTGGGCAATGGTGCCTGATAGGGCACAAAGGAAGTGTCTAAAATACATTTAGAAATCATAACAGTAAAAGAGAGTGAGTTTTATATTTACGTCTTGTTTCTTGAAACGAGTGTCCTTTCATGCAGGTGAACAAGGTGCAGAAATCTGCATGGCGGTCAGATTTCCTGGTGCAATATACTGGAGAAGGCTACATAACCACGGACCCCCAGTGTCCGAAATTGGGGTCAGGAGTGTCCGTAAGTGTCCGCACTGGATTCATTTTCACATACGACACCCTCTTTAAGGTTTAAGGTTTAAGGTTTAA